ACGGGGTCTGCTCCTGGCACTGCTTTCTTGGTGGTATGAGGTCCCCCCTCTCTGCCCACTTCCCTTTCATCTCTTGTAAGATAAAAGGTGGTGCAGGCCACACCCCAGGGAAACTCCCTTTACACTGGATCAGGCATATGACCTTGGTAAAGGTGTTACATCCCACCCTAATCCTCTTTAACATAATCTAATCTTGCCTCATTAACCACAGCAGAGATTAGGATTTACAACACAGAAAAAATATCTGAATCACAAAACGGAGGGTAAGACAACCACACACCACCAGGAATCACGGCCTAGCCGATTCGATACACGTATTCTTGGGAGACACAATTCAATCCATGACACTGGTTAAGAGCTTGGCTGCTAACCAGAAGGTTGGCAGTTCAGATCCACTAGTCACTCCTCGGAAACCCTATGGGGCAGTTCTACTCTGTCCTGTAGGGTCGCTGAGTCGGAATCGACTCAAGGCAGTGGGTTTACACCAACCTCAGGCATGTCTGAGAAACATGCTGGCGAACTGGTGAAAGCAGCGTCTGGTGTGGGCCCGCGTTCACATGGATGCAGAGAAAATTCTCCTAAGGGAGACCTTGGGTCCCAGCGTTAGCTGGATGTGGGAGCAGGTGTGAAATAAGAGGGACCAGGCTCCGTGTTGGTTCCCTTTCTGGACAAGGCCAGTTCTAGGGGTGCCCAGCGACCAGCCTAGGGGTTGGCGTGGCCCCGGGAACCTGCAGACTCTGATGGGTCAGTGGGTGCGTGTGCAGCCTGCTGGCCTCGGAAGGCCACTCTCCTCACCCACAGCCCACCCAACCTGGCGCCACTGTGGCAATTCCGCCTCCCAGCAGCCCCACGTGTGACAGAGTAAACTGCTCTACAGGGTCTTCTCGGCTGTGATCTTTACTGAAGCAGATCCCCAGGCCTTTCTTCTGCAGCAGGGTGGATTCAAACCATCAACCTTTAGGTTTAGCAGCCAAGCAGAAACCAGTCTGACCACCCAGGAACCTTCCCCAGCCCACAGGGGCTGAGAAAAATAAACAAAATGAGGGAGGGGTTATACTGGCGGTGTGCTGGTTTACCGCTGTGTCCCATGGAATGCTAGTGCTTCCACGGGCATCCCTCTACCCTGGGAAGGGGGAGGGGAGGAGAAGCCCAAGCAAATGAAACGAAGCCCCTTGTCCCACCCCACAAGCCTGTCTTAGCCTCTTACTTGGGTTCCATGGGTGATTTGGTTTGAAAACTCTGGTTCTTGTATGGAATCCTATGAGTGGCTTAAACACGTTGGTGTCTCCTCTCTTTCTCTCTTTTATTATTCCTGTTGTGTGACCATCACCACTATTTTATTTCCAAAGCCTTTTCATCACCAATCCAAACAGAATTCCCAAACAGAAACTCGGTGCCCATTGAGGAACAGTCCCTAGCGACCACTTGGACACTGGTCTCTGTGGATTTGCCTACTGTAGGTATTTCACGTAAGTGGGATCATACTATCCTTGCCCTTTTGTGTCTGGCTTATTCACTCAGCACGATGTGTTCCTGGCCCATCCCTGCCAAAGAGAGCACATATCAGAGCTTGCCTGCTCTCTGTGGCTGAGCAGTATTCCGTTGTAGGGATGGAGCGCCGTGGTTTTCCACCCCCTGCTGACGCACACTGGGGCTGTTGTGAAGAGCACTGCAGTGGACGATGGCGTACACAGGATCTGCTGAGTAACCTGGACGCTGGCCACAGTGTCTCCAGCCATCGCGTGAAACACTCTGAGTGCCCGCACGAAGTGCGGCCGGATTCATGGAACCCGGCTCTGCTCACAGGCACACCAAACTCTGAGTGGCCTGGAGCAGCACTGACGATCTTCAGCACTGTCGGGTTCAGCGGCCCGGGTCCAGCGGCTTGGGGTGAGTGCCGCCCCTTGGCATCCTGCAAAGGTGCCAGCGTGGGGAAGGACCCTGAGTAGCTCCACTCTGCCGCCAAGCAGCCCCAGAACACGGACCAGCCTCTCCGGATGTCTCCCAACAGCGCCTTCCCTGGAATGTCTCTAAGAGCCCCCAAGAGTCTGCATGGAGTTCTTTTTCAGGAATTCACTCCTCCGGGACCGCCGGACGGGGGGAGACTGAGTGTGAATGCCTCCACTAGAGGGTCTGTCCGAAGGCCCGGTCCACAGGCTGTCAGCTGTCAGCCGCGCCCTCCCCCCGGAGCACTGGACAGTCACTGAATCACCAGAGCTGGCCTCGTGTGTGCGCGAGCGTGGGTGTGACTGGGTGTGTGTCAGTGTGAGTGCGGGTGTGACTGGGTGTTTATGTCAGTGTCAGCGTGTGCACGCGTGAGCGCGTATCAGTGTGGATGTGTGTCAGTGTGCACATCGGTGTGCGCACGTGGGCATGCGTGTCTATTACTGCGTCAGCGTGTGCGTGCGTCAGTGTGTGAATGTGTGCACGTTGTGATAAATGTCAGTGTGTGTACGTGTGTAAGTGTGTGTGTGTGCACGTGTGCTCAGCAGCAGCCATGATCCCCCTCCGTGAGCCCCTCTGGCCATCTAAGACGCCTAGGGATCATCAGTGCCCTTCCGGTTGGAAAGTGTAAGGACAAAGCAATCAACATTTCCATTAGACCCGCACGGGAGAGCCGATGAAGACACGCGTCTGCAAACGAGCGGCTGTGCCTGGTCACAGGGTGTGTTCGTTGGCGCACAGGGTGCTGAACACGTCACTGAGGTGTCAGCTAAGACACAGCACCTATAGGCCGGCAACCACTCGGGGTGAAGCCACAGTCCTGACCACAGGCACTTCATCTGGAATCATGGCACCGAGAGCTGACAGGCCCCGAGACGACGTGGTGACGCTGCAGGTGACACGCTGTCACCGGGTCACAGCGCGTGGCCGCGGGAGCAAGGATGTCCTGCGAGTCCCAGAGCCCATCGGTGTGTCCGAGAGGGCGCCCGGCCCCTTCACAGTAAGTGCACAGCCACTCCCCTCAGAAGCCCCTTCCTTCTGCCCTGCGCCACGAGGCAGCCCTTGCTCTAGGGCCAGTGGTCAGCACCCCTGCGGCCCCACTGCCCCAACGGGAGCGCCCTGCGCTCCTGCACGTGACCTGCCGCTCAGCAGCCCCTCCAACATCTCATGGGCCTTTGGAACCCACAGCCACATGGCCCGTGAGCCAGCCCTACTCCAGGTGTGAGCAGCTCAATGACATCCCTTCCTGTCACCGCCCAGGTGGGGACCAGGGCAAGGGCACTTCCTCTCCCACCAACCATCACGGGGGAGTCTGGATCCTAAACCGCTGTCGCCCCCACCAATGCTGACCTCAACTCCTTCCTATAGACCATTCCCCAGAGAGTGCCACAGGGGATTCCAGAACTCTCTGCTGACCCCCCACAGCCTCCAGGCCCTGCCCCCCAACTCACCTCCGTGCTAACTCCCACAGCCTCCAGGCCCTGCCCTCCAGCTCACCTCCCTGCTGACCCCCCCACGGCCTCCAGGACCTGCCCCCCAGCTCACC